TATATATATATACTAAAACAGCATTGTGTTGATGTATTGAACTTGTACTATATTACTAAATTTATATTATCTTTTCTACAGATTTAATGAGGAAGAACCATCCACCGATGGAATTGTATTGACAACTGCTTTTAAAACTTCTGACTGTGGGTGGGAAACGGAGGTTATGGAAGGTACAGTATGACAAGAAACATATATAACATAATACAATAATTAAAGTAATTCTGTCCTTAGCATGTCAACTTCTACATTTTGCTATACGTGAACAGATATTAATTAATTGTTTTACACTGTACTGATAACTTAATCCTCTTTATGCTGATGAGCACATAAGGCAGCAACAAATATTTTCCATTGTCCACTGTCCTAAGCCAGCCATTATGTTTCATTGGTTGCTTTTGACATCTGTTTTTTTTCTTCTTCCAATGTTCGTCTCTATGTCCCCTTCGGCCTTCCTCTGAAGAAATCTATCATATATAGACAGTGTCTCTGTATTAAACGCATTTGCTCTGACCCAGCTGATACGAAGCCCAGATATGCTCCCTTACCAAACACTTTCTTAACAGTGGCTACCCCTTTAAAATTATTAAATCTCAGACCCATAAGGCAGCCCCAAACCCCCGCTCTGAACTTTTAAATCCGAAACCTGATTCTGACCGTATACCATTATTTTTTAACTTCTCATACCACCAAGTTAGCCAACACTATCAAGAAAGATTTCCGTACCCTTCAACAGGACCCTAATATAAAAAATCTGTATCCCAACCTCCCTTACTAACCACCAACCCCCCAACCTCAAGTCTATCCTCACATCGTCCAATTTACTTTCTAACCCGACTTCCCATGGTAATATTAAATGCAACAAACCACGCTGTAAAGTATGCAAGCACCTCGTTACTGACAGCTTTGTTAGGCTCCCACACACCTCTTCTATCAATCCCACTCCCCTCCCGTGTGACTCTTCGAATATTATATAATTCTCTTCATGTGCAATATCTGTGATCATGGCTCTTATATAAGTGAAACTGGAACTAAATTTAGACTCGGGTTTAATAACCACAAAGAGTCCGTCCATAACAAGAGCAAGGGGTTCCCTGTCGCCGAATATTTTAACTCTTCTTTCCACTCCTTTGACAACATCCGATGTGTTCTGCTGGCTAACAATATTCCATCTCGCGACCATCGAAGATGCTCAGAGCTCAAACACATCAAATTCAGTACTCACATTTTATTTCATTTCATTTCATTTATTCGTCTCAACATTAAAATTGACAAAAAAGGAAACAGCAAAGAACAAGAGACAACATGAGACAGGACACCCTAAAAGTGAACTTAATCACTGTCGGATGGGGGCCCTTCACAAGAAACAACCAGATGCTTACAGAATATATATTTTTTATGAATATACAGTATAAAAAATCAAAGTTAAAACAATTCAAGAAGTTCAATAGTAAAATAGGCATAATTAAAAAGATTTAAAATACATAGTAACATTTTCAGGCCTTAATCGTGACATTGGTATTCTGAGTTATTACACATTCACAAACACTTGACTTTTCATATCACTGTATCCCCGCCTCACTTATCACTATTTTATGTACACCATGTTATATAAAGCAATTACTAGAGCTCCGCATAAGTACACTATAGGAAAATTATTATACAAAGGTTAGATTTAATGCTTGAAAAAATTTCCTGAGGGCCAGCACGGCCCAAAGGAAATTTTTAAATGCATTAAATGTAACCTAAGTATAATAATTTTCCATTTAGTGTACGATGCATGCTCTACTAATTGCTTTATCAGTTAATCGCCGTCTTTTAATTTTAGTTTTTTATAACCAACTGTTGTAGCAGTCATCGGTTGTTATAGTGATATGATCAGTATACGTGTGCATTTTTATTCAGCTGAGTGTATGCTGATTTTTGCTCCTGCAGTACGCGTTTAATTAACTACACATTAGCAGTACAGTACGGATACAATAAATAAATATTGTGTTTAAAAGAATTTGTAATGCTATTTTGATAGACTTTCATCAAAGAAATAAACATTTTAGCATTCGAGAGAGAATACAGTCACTGACGTCCTTTTGGTCGGTGGATGCAGTCAGGTAAAATCGTGCGATGATTTCATAACTAAGCTAGGCTACAGCCTAGTAGTAGTAGGAGGAGGCCTGGGTGGCCTCCTGCCTGACCATAGACCTACATCTAAATTTGTTCCTTGAGTCTTTAAAAGAGGTCTAGAATATTCCTATTAAACGTTCAGTTTGTTATGTTTATGAGGATCCATTGATTTAATGAATTCCTTAATTGTTCATACTTAATATTGAATTTGGGTTTGGTTTGATTTGATTTATTTGCATCTCATAAAAAAAAACTGTACAATCAATTGCAATACACAATGTAAAAGCATAAAATTCATTAGAAAAAGTTACCAAGAAAACAAGCAAAAGGCCAATACAAAAGTGCAAGTAAGGTGATGGAGGAATTGATGGAATTATTCAAGGAGATGCAAGGATAGCGGAAAAAAAATCCTAAAAAGGTCTTATTTCTATTGGGGTTCTTAAGACGAAAAACCAATGGGTTCTGATTAACCTTGTTTTACAAAAGTAATTTTCAATTACAATTCAATTTTTATCGCGGTGCATGATGCCTTCGCGGTGATGAAAAAATGAGGATTTTTTTTTTGCACACGAAACTAAAAAAATCAAGCGAAGTGTCAACTAATTGAAAAATTAGAGGACGGTGGGGAATAGGCAAATAACGTTGCAAGTTGCAGTGATGATGTCACGATTGACTTATAATCCATATTACTTTCATAATGTTATATTTAATTTTCACTTTTCTGCTTGACTTCTGCATTACATATATATCTAGGCCTACCTAGTTTACTTTGTTTTTTTTAAATATTGTTAATGGCTATTATTATTATTATTACTATCCTATGATTTTTATTGCCATTATATTTATCAGTATCATGGGCTATCGCTTACTCTACTCAATATCAATGTACTTTGTTTTTTACATTTTAAACTCAGTTCTTGCTCTCAACGTAATATTATTTAATATCACTGTGTCTCCATTATTGTTTATCTCATTTAATCACCCTCCTTTATTTAATGCTGTTTATTTTATAATTTGATCTGTCATTTGCCAACTTGTATACTCAGTTACGCTTTCTTTCGATGAATGCTCCCATCAGGAAACTGCCTCTCATCTTAAATTATCTACAAGGACTCCTTGTAACCACAAATGATGTCAAAGAGTACATCGGACTGACAGACAACACATTCAAAACCAGATTTACAAATCATAAGCACACATATAACTCTCCGAAGCATAAGAACAGCAACGCATTATCAAAACATGTATGGAAACTTAAAGAAATCAACACCCAATTCAACATTTAAGGGTCCATACCGGTAATTGACAAAGCTACGCTATACAGTACACAAACAAAATTCTGCAATCTCTAAGTACAGAGAGATTTCACATAATTTATTCAAACAAACCATCAACTTTAAACAATAGAACAGAGCTGCTTTCAAAATGCAGACACAGAAACAAATTCCTACTAAAGAATACGTAACACAATTAGTATATACACGTGCTGAACCCCATATACACCTCCATTACTGTATCTTCCTATCCACTCACTCCTGAAGACTTGCTGCTGCATGAAACATCTGTAGAGTAAATTCACTCTCGACATAACCTTTCTATTACTAATGCTCTGTATTCGCATTGAGCACTACACATTGCTGATCTTGACAATCATATTTTGTA